ACAATTATTGGATGAGTGTGGATGTATTGATACAATTAAGGTTAGCAAAGTGTTCAAGAAACGGGATAATGCGATAGTAGAGACTTGTTTAGACTATTTACTGATGCGTCTTAGCATTGACCGAACGTTGTCGACTTTGAAGAGTCATTGATGAGTCTCAAACTAGAGGCAAAAAACATAACAACGGATTGCTGACCAATGTTTGAAGAGCATTCAAGCAAGTGAGATTTTGGAGGTGCGGTTAGGTGACTGGAGAAGTACTCAAGCTATCAAAAGGGTAACTCTGATATAGTTGACAGCGACTTCAGAAGCGTGAAAGCGTTATTGGAGTGATTCAGGAGTTATGCTTACTTTCAAATGGGCAAGAGGAGACTATTAAGATGAGTGAATAACTGAGATTTTCTGAGAAGATAAGCAAAGGGTTTAGATGGCGGCTGCTGTTTCGAAGCCATTTCAGGCGCTGAAGTTTCATCAAAGGAGTGCACACTTTCTTGTCAGTCGAGAGTTTCTGAATGCGTCCTTTCGTCTGGAAACCGTTTGAACTGCCATCTGCGAGCCACAAAATTGTCTATCCGCCGGCTCAGCTCTCTAACGAGCGCTTTGACTCATTGCCTGACCTTTTTTATTATTAATAAATAGAATATTAATTATTTGGCGATATGACATGATTCTGCGTAAGAGAAAGGAAATAACAATTATTCACGCAAATGATTGTTATAGTTGATTCCAAGGTAAAATGTGCCACTCAAAAAGTACCACTCAAAATCGATCATCAAATTTGAGAGAAATTAGCGTGTTTGGGACGAAGACTGTTTCATTTTTCCTTGAATTTTTGATATTTATTCGATGGCTCAATTTACGGCAATTCTAATAAATTATTTGGATTTTGAAAATATCTTTTTAGCGTGCTTCAACAGCGAAAATAAAACTGCATCTAACCTGCGACGCGTATTTCCTTGCTAAATGGCTTCTCACCACAGCTTCGATACTAAATTGATGGCCTGAAACACGATAATTTTGAAAATGGTTGATTTCACAAAAATTTTTTAGAAGTGCTCTGGGAGGAAGAGAATATCCCAATTCGCATCCTGAGATCTTTCAAAATGTAATAAAATTTCCAAATGAATCACGTAATCACTCGCCTCTCCATTCGCTCTGCGTCAGAGATTTCAATGCCGCGGCTAAAGAGAGCGCTTTCAGCCTTTTATTCAGAGATTTTTCCTCCGTCTGGAGAAGAATTCGTGGGGATCCCATGCTGATTTGATTGAAGAAACTTTGTTTTATCGTTATATAAATATAATCTTATTATTAGTTCCAACTTATGACGCCTAACAAAATAGTTGCCATGAAATGCAAGAAGCAGTTTGGCTTTTAAGGGCGCATAACGTAGTGGCCTTTCGTTTTTACGTTGATCTATCTAGGCCTTTCTCAAATCATCACTCATGAATTTTCAAACATGGAAAATTTGAATACCCTCTACAGTGCTTGATTTACTCCATCCACAATATCATTTTCAACCTCTTTTTAAGTAGAAAAGAAAGTTCTGGGACACTTGTAAAAACTTGGAAACTTGTGTATGAATTCCAAACAAAAATAATGATATTTTTGCTTCGAAATGAAAGCCATCGTTTGCTACGACTTTCCGCCATCGGTGCTTCATGTTGCGGAACTGGTCGAAGTACCATTCCTTCTGCTTCGATTCAAATTCTTGACATGCCTCTTCAACTTCATCGTACTATTCAAATCGGTAATCTTCCGAAAGTCGTTGGACATGGCGGAGGCTCGTAACAAAGTGAAATAAGAACAAATAATATCTGGGCTTTTAGTGGGAAAATTTCACTCAAGAAATTGTAGTATTCCCGTGATATGCATGAGAATTATCTCATCCTTTTCGGAATTTCCCACACCTTTTTTTTAACCGTAGTAGTTTGTCCACAGTATACTTTTCTTTTTCGTGGCCTTCAAGGTGCTTTTTTCTTATATCAACAACTACAGACGTTGCACTTTTATCATCACCTCGAAGTTCAATACGTTTGATTTGATTTTGCATACCTGTCACATGTCAAAAAAAATTCTGTCATCAAGACAAGAGATTGTTTTGGGTATCAAGCAGTTCACTTTCTTCGTTGTCGCTGCTTAGAAAATCGCTTTGAAAGCAAGAATAAATGGATGTTCACATAAAGAAGTGCGAATTCGACAATTTCATTGTGTTTAACATTTTGATGATCACCTTTGAACGAGGATTGTGGGTGGGTCGATTTCAACATGTAACTTTATCAGGTTGGATGCTGAAGTAACCCTACGCATAAATTCGAAAATCGCTTGAATTATAAGCCAGCTTTAGTAGAACAGAACAACATCGTCAACGAAAGTTCCAAGAATCAATGCAAGAATAACAACGTGTCATTTAAGTCAAGGATTATCATGTTAACTGTTGGCGCGCCGTGGTCGAATAGATTTGATGCTCGTCGCGGCGTGCGCGGGACCAGATCCTACCTCCATCACTTCGAGGAGGTCAAACAACGAACATTCTATGGAGCACCGTAGTCAGGCTATCTTTGAGATTATAAGGAGCACTGCTAAACCAGTGTTCTGCGACTCTAAGAAGAAGAGGAAAAATTAAATACCAGATTCGCACAGTGAGAAAAAAATACATTGTAGAAACGGGTTAATTAAAGTGGTAAAGTTCAATGTTCAACCGATGTGCGCAGACAGCGAGATGACTCCTGGCATGATACGTTACCGTATCCATGTTCACTGACGTAGGTGTCCAAACTTAGAATGATCGGGTGGTCGTGCCGATTTTCCGGCACACAGCAGCATTGTGGCAGGAGTCATGGCGGCCAGTTCTGCTGTCTGGTGCAATTGTTTTCCAATTGCGCAGATATCAGCGATGCCACATCAGTCTTATACTTTTGCCACTGCTATTGCCAACGAGTATTCAAACTACGAAAATGAACTAACAGGTGGCTTATTACATTTGATCAGCTACGGCACGTCGAGTAATCGTCTGAAGATCAATTGTATTGTGTTGTTCAACATTGAAATATTTCCAACCATCTCAAAAATAATAGATGCAAATCTTGTATTCTCGAAATGGTAAGCACTCTATCCTGACAATGAGAGCACTTCACCATACTTTCTTTTCATCATCAATTGAATTGACCAATCATTCCTAGTGCCGTAGAGTCAAAGTAGAAAGCAATACGGTATTCTTGATGAATTGCGACAAAATTCATTGTATCCAGCTGAAAAATAATATAGGAAACAGAAACGGAACTCGTTGTCGCTTTATTCACTATACCTAGCAATTGTTCCATAAATTCCTTGGATTCACTTAAGTTAACTGATGGGATACTGGGCCAATTCGAATTTATGTTTCCTAGAAGTCTCCATTAAAAAGGACATTCATTGCTGATTTGCGCAGAGATGTGAAAAGTCTTCCGATAATGGCATAAATATACGACTTTCTAGGGAAAAAGCGTATTTAGACAACAACTTTAGCACCCATCTTATTTTCCTACTATCTTTATTGAGTTCAAAAAAATATATTTCAGAAGTGCATTCGTTTTCTAATGACCACTGCATGTCATGGTGCGTATGAGTTTTCCTTTAATGGAAGTGTATTACGCAGCTCAAGATGCATATCTGAAAAGTGTTTCACTATCCTTCCTCTACTATGGATTACTTGTTTGATGTATTCTATTTATGATTGAATCAGTAAGGCTACCACGATGACATTACTCAAAATTCACCAGCTGTCATCATTTTGTTGACACAATACTGGGTGATTCCATTGATGACCAAGAGTTTCATGAATATCCATGAGCAGAACGGGAATTTACTATGCTGTCACAACACTTTTTCGCTTTATATCCCCTACTTTTTGTTTCCGACAGGCGGAAAGCGACAAAACGCATCCTCTCGTGAAAATGAAAACATTATCGTCGCTCATTACTTTGAGACTTGAACGGAAATGACGTCTTCAACATGCTATCTTTGCTACAAGGTAAGCCCACGAACGGCGGCAATATCTCACATCGCATAAATTTTAGTCCCCGATTTGGCAATGTATAGCCTATGAGCGCATAGAGGAAATCCAGAATCAAGTAAACTTACATTGTAAATCATAGCTAAAAAAGGGATAATCATGAAGTTTTTCGTAAACTAGCAGAGATGCTTTTGTCCCTCAGTGTTCTTGACGCAGAAGAATAGTATAAGAACTATTTCTAGCTTTTAATCGCTTACATCAGTCAGTATACCTGTGGATGTAATACTCATGCACCAATACCAGAATTCCATTAATGTGCTTTTCTAATGACGTTTTGTTAAGAGAATTTGTTCCGCTGTTTCTGCAAGTCTCGATATTTGCAAGATTATTTTTCCAATTTTGAAATTTAAGTCAATGAAGATTCACACTTTTACTTTGTGATGGTCCTGTGAATTACTGTAAACGTATTTTGATAGGTCAAACATCACTCTTCTTTAGAAAACAAGAAAAAAGTGATGAAAAATTGTAAAGTTAATGGAGAAAATAGAAAGTCAAAAGCGATAAAGTGCCAGAGCAAAGAAGTTACTTGCTCATTCTCATGAATGGGCGACCATCATGAACCAGCTGAATGTGAAGATTTCTTGTCCTATGAACGTGTTGGTCTATTAAGCGGAGATTGCATGCAGCATTAGTTTTGTGAAGAGTCGCGGTCTACGACTTGTAATTGTTGACGTGCCTCTTGATTACCTCAAATACTGGGATGCGTGCGAAAGTGATGCCAAACTTAGCGCTACGGTGGATAACTGCACACATGACATCTGCCCGCATGTCAACTGGCTTAATTAAAGTGTATGCACGCTTCCTAGCATCTAATAGATTCATTTTATAGACTGTCACTCACCTAATAACGCTGGCGTAATATACTAAATTGATATAGACGGCTGGACGGCTCACTGTATACAGATAACGCGTTGTAGCGTAGAAAGAGTGGAGTGGAAAACGAGCGCCGGTGGTGCAACTGCTTAGCACATGCTCCCGGAAAGAGTAAGATGTGGGTTCGATTCCCGCAAACGCAAACGCTCTTGTACAGCAGTCTACATTATCGCTTTCTTCTGAGCTTTGTTTGCATTCTGCCGTGCGCTTAATCAACCATAATGCATCAATCATTCGTTGCATTCTGAGTACTTGTACTTTTCTAGCCTTTTCTTACAATTTTGCTGAAGTCTTGTCCAAAATGAATGGTGAGGGCAAACCATTAAACTTTTTAATGGCTAATTTATCGCAAGATGATGAGTGTTGAGGCAATTCTATGCTGTCGTTGTGTTGGTGATTCGGATCTAATAATAGCTAGAGTGTTGAAAATGTAATTCAAACTCAGTTTGATGCCCGACGTGCAAACACTGAGTGTAGTATCAAAATTTTTTGAGTTATATAATGCAAAGATATCAAAGCCGACGCACAAGAGTCAAACGCCATCTACTCCTCGTCGATTTTGTCAGTGTAAGGCTAATTAGGTAATTCTGAAACCACGGTAATCATTGCTAAGATACCCCCTCTCCCGTCATTATTACCACTTGTGGGTTGATGAGCTTAGTTTCGATTTTAGCCATCATTTCGACAATTTTTTAACATTCTAATGGTTATGCCACAATTCAAGTGGCTTTTTCATGTCATAGTAAAGGGTTATATATCCCAAGTTAGCAATAATCTGAGAAAGTGAGCTTTTTCACTGAAATTTTTTTTTAACGATTTTTATAGTTGATTCTACTTCACTTGCAGTCTTCATCGTATCATCAATTTAGAACACGCAAGTATACTACATCTTCCATAGATGCAACCACGATCTTTGAAAGGATTGATTTAATATAAATCTGAAAGCATATCTTCAGCTTATCATGAGTTCTCTTATGGCACTTATGCAGTGCCAGACACATGTTTCGTCATTGCGGCCTCATTAGTAGGACGGTGCCTTTGCTTTCAGCTTAGCCATTAGCGAGCTACTGTTGGTCACTGCAATGTCGAGAATTTTGTCTCCTGTCAAGCGGTGATTTATTGATTCGGCGTCAATTCCTCTATATGTAAGGAGACTGTTCCCCCGCACAGGATTGGCTGAACCGAAAGTCACCGTGCTACTAATGAGGCTTTAATGCCGAAACACTCATCTAGCACTGCATAATTGCCATAACAGACCTCTTTATAGGTTCAAGGTATATTACCAGATTTATATTGTGGTTCTTTTCAGTTATCCACAATAAATGAAGAAACGACCAGTTTCGATGGACATGAAGTTTTCATAGGAGTGTGAGCAATCACTCAGAAGCTTACATCTTTCGCTAGAGCTATACGCAACCATATGTAATCGGTTCTTCAAAACAACCTTTTATGACGCTGTAAAATTCAAGATAAGATTATGTTTCACGCAACCGTGCGTTTTTTTTCTCTTAACTCGCTTATCTTTCACTGGGCAAGACTCCTCCTTCAAATTGTTAGCACTGTTTCAATAGCACAAGTCTTGAAGAACTCATAAGTGTGCTTGGTTTTCGGAAGAGCTCTTTTGATAGCGTTGTAAGAGAAAAAGAAAAATCTATGTCTTACACCTTGCCGGACAGAGCTCTTTTTTAGAGTATTATTGATCATTGCATGGCGTAAGATTAAAGGATACCAACGCCGTGCTTACTTTTTGGAAGAACCGCTTTTCTGCACTGTAGCAGAAAAAACAAAATTGGTGCACGTACGCGACCATGAATTCTATGGTCAGTTCACGGGCCGCAGGGTTAGGTGGCAAGGGGATTGGTGCGTTAGTTAATCAATTTTTTCACAAGAAAGTGCGATTTTTGTTATTCAATTGGGAACTGCTTCTTCACTCTGGAAGAAACTGCAGATTGAACACCTGCTCTGATACTACAAAATGTTCTTTCTACGTTTATATGCTTTTTGTGTTATAAGTAAATGTAGAATTGCACAGCCGCTGTGAAATATAATTATATATTGAATTTCTCAACCTTATAGAAGGGTCCTTTCAAAAAGCGGCTACTTAGGACTCCAGCTATAAACCTATGCTATTGAATGGTTACTAACGCTCTTGCGAAAAGTTCTTGCCCAGGGAATTGAGCGAGACTTATAAGAATAGCCGAATGCAAAGGTTTACCAAATTATTTGTTTTCTCGGGAGCAAGTTGTTATGTTCAAACGTCTTTTCATTATTGTAATAGAACAGACTCAAATTCAATATCCTTCTCACTCATCTATCATCAATGACGGAATTATGGATTTCCTAGGCAAAACTCTTGCTGCTTTCTTTTTTTCTAGACAAAGGTTTGTTCTCCGAGCATGTCACAAAACATAATTGCTCAAATAGTAATTCCCTAGACCGATTATCAATTAACCTCGGCATAGTAGGAATATATTAGTAGTATTTCTGTTCAGCAGTTCCGAGGTGTTAAATACAGTATTTAATGAATACTAGTAAAGCATTCAAAATAACTCCAAAAAAAAGATTGCTTTTAGCCTAAACGAGGTTGGTACGCCAGGGCCATACACCGGTGTTTCGGAGGCTCGTCGTCTTTTTTTGGAGTTATTTTGAATGTTCTTTACGAGGTTTTAGTAAAAGTCGATTTAATGGACTAGTTTTTGGTCTACCAGCCAATACCATAGACTGATGGTGATGGACCAGTGTCATTGTATACTATGCCATCACCATATACCACATTCGCCTCCCTCCTTGCTACAATGCAGGGCTTAATGTGGTGCGGAGGTCACTGACAAGGAGGACGAGCCTCCGAAACACCGGTGTTTGGCCCTGGCGTACCAACCTCGTTTAGGCAAAAAGCATTCATTTTTTGAAGTTATTTTGATTGTTTTTTACGAGGTTTTAGAAACAGTCGATTAAATGGACTAGTAAAGCAGTACAATACATTCAATAGCAGTAGTGCAATAACCGTGGTGGCTTACGCTTTGGCGAGGTTCGCCATATTCATGCTCAATTAGTCTATATAACGCTAAGCAGTGGACGACTCAACACTGAAAAAATACAGGAACAGTGTTACCACAAAATGCGAAAAAAGGAGACCTGCTCTATAGTTTGCAATATTGCCGAATCCCTTTCTTGAAATGGAATTGATCCCCACAGAGAAGGTTCCTAAGCATGTCGAGAAATATTTCTCGTTACGTACGCGTTAGTATTATAATAGTGCATATATTACGAGGCACATTCGACGATAAAATTAAGCTAATACCCACTATCTCTACTGATGAGCTGGTTCTTGTAATTGCTGCAAAGAAAATATTGGTGGCTGTGAGGTATGGCGTGGTAGGGACTATCACCTGTATCACCTGTCGTCCCGTTGATCGTCGAGTGACTCGAGCGGGTACCAGCAACTCTTCCATTTTTCCCTATCGCGTGTAAGAATAGCCCAGTGGGTCCTCCTGGCTCTAGGAATTCGCTGAGCATCATATCTTTCTTCCATCGCTTTCGTGAAGAAATCGGACCAACGGGTCAGTGGTCTTCCTTTAGAGCGCTTGACGTCCCGAGGAATCCAGTCGGTTACGGCTCTCGTCCATCGGTTGTCGTTGAAGCGCATCACGTGTCCGGCCCAAATTATTTTCGACATCCTGGCGTGTAGAGCGGAGTCTCTGATTTTCAATCGTTGACGTAGGTCGGAACTTCGGATCCTTTCTCTCATTTGCGAAATACGGGATACTCCTAGCATCGACCTTTCGACTGCGCGTTCCATAACTCCAAGTGATCTTTCATCCTGCTTACGTCGCGACCAGGTTTCTGATGCATACGTTAGGGCAGGGATAATCGTCGAGTCGAAAAGGTGGGCACGGAGTCGGATGTTCTTTGTACTCTTCACTACATCTTCGATGCTCTTAAACGTTTCCCAAAACGCTCGTTTCCTCCTGCTCAACTCTGGGGCTAGGGTCGTTCATCATGTTGATTTCACGACCCAGATAGACGTAACTGGAGCACTCGGAGATTGCCGCTCCGTTGAGTGTGAATGGGGCATTCAAAACCCATCATTTCCTCATGAACATTGTTTTCGTTAGATTCAGTTGGAGACCAGTCTTTCCACAGGCGTTATCGAAATCAGTCAACATTCATTCTCCTTGGCTGATGTTTGGTGTTATGAGAACGATATCGTCAGCAAAGCGAAGATGGTTTAATTGTCGACCGTCAATTTTCACTCCCATTTCGTCCCATTCTAATGATCGCATGACGTTTTGTAGGGTGGCAGTGAATAGTTTTGGCGATATTGTATTGCCTTGTCGAACCCCTCTTCTTACGTCAATGGTGATATTGTTGTAGAATGGAGATATTCTGGTCGTGAAATCTTTATAAAGCTCACGAAGGATCATTATGTACCGAGTAGGGACACCCTGGTTACCCAGAGCCTCCATAACCGCTTCTGTTTCCACTGAATCAAAGGCTCTTTTCAGATCGATAAAAGTGAGACAGAGTGGTTGTTTGTACTCTCGCGAAACTTCAGTGAGTCTTGTGATCGTGTGGATGTGGTCAATGGTACTAAATCCTTTTCTGAACCCTGCTTGTTCGCATGGCTGTCCTTCGTCCAGTGTTCTGTCAATCCTGTTCAGGATGACTCGAGTAAAGAGTTTATAGACAACGGATAGCAAGCAGATTGGGCGATAATTGCCTATGTCGTGAAGGTCTCCCTTTTTGAACAACAATACTGTCTTGCTGGTTTTCCACTGAATAGGGACCTTGCATTCTGACAGGTAGCGAGTGAAGAGCCGAACCAGGGTGTTGATGAGAACTGGCGGCAGGTTCTTCAGGTGTTCTGTTCTAATCCTGTCTGGATCAGGTGTTGTTCTGCTTTTCACCGACGATATAGCATGTCGGATTTCGGAAGGAAGGACCGGTGGAAAGACATATTCGTCCTCTTTCAATTTATATGACGGTAAGAGAATATGGCTAGCGAAGAGATCCGAGTAGTATTGGTGGATGATTTTCTCCATAGCCCTTCTGGAAGCTGTCAGTGTCCCGTCAGGGTATCGGAGTGCAATCATCATGGTCTTATAGTTGGCGAAGCCTTGCTGGGCTTTGCGAATGCTCT